AAGAGTCTAACAGTGAATATACATATGTATATGCATAAAAATATACATACATGATTATATGTATGGAACTAATCATTCTGATTATTTTAATCTGTTTAATCCAACCTCCCAGAATTGACTTATCACGTGAATTAAGAGCATGCTAACAAAAGAACACTTATAAGCCATTTAAAAATTCTATATATAAACAGAAAGGGACCACAAAAATCAGACTCCAAGTCAAGTATCAAATCAAATATTAAATTCAAACATATTAATAAGAAGCAAATACTCAATATTCAATCAGTGTATCCCAGTCTACTTAAATAAAAATTCAAAAATTATGCCCTGATGATTTTGGACATGTAAAATATGATAAATCAGATGCAGGTTTAGAAGCCATTCTTAAGCTTACTGGTTCTACATATACTTTTGAACAAAACTTTCTAATTTCAAAGATTTAGAAGCTACCAGAACCAGCAACAATTTCAGGAGAATTATGAGAATCATGCCAATAGATAAATGTTACTCTTTTTGCTTTGCCTCAAGGTAAGAAACCAAGGTCTATTTGTCTAACTGATAATACACATCAAGAAAGGTTATAAAGCTACTTCTCTTAAGATAACAATCAATATAGAATTAGAAGGCTAAGGGAATTAAGTACGCATGTTTATACATAACACATAGAATAATAAATAATATTAAAGTTTTTAAATGTGACCACAGTTCTAGAGAGTTCCAAAGAATGCCACTATGTTTGGTGACTTCAGAGTACCAGGTAAACTAATATTTTGGGAAAAACATCTCTCTGTCCTAGAAGCATCGATTCATGGATTTATAATTTCTTGCGTGTGCAAAATTAAATGTTGCTAATTAAAGTTGAAAAATGATTTAAGGAGCTGAAGAGAAAACAAGGGGAGACAGATAAATAGGAAATATTGTTCTACTTTAACAGATTAGGGCTATAGTAAGACAGTTCAAATTCACCTAACCAAACAAATTTAGGAACAAAAAGATGTTAGGACTCATTCCATACTACCAAAAGGCGATCTCCTGGGGTAGGTATGGGCGTCTATTTTGAAAAAATTTCATGGATGATTTAGGTTATAAAGACCAGGTTAAGGATTAATATAGCAGACAATCCTACCTCTGGCCTGGCTCGAATTACCATCTACATGTTAGAAGTCTCAAACTTACTCCAGACCTCTTTTCTGGGCTTCAAGCCAATATAGTTAATTCCTTAGCAAAGCCCTGTTTAATATTTCTGAAAGAGATTTCAAATCTACCAACTTCTTTCCATATCCATTAATACCACCCCAGTCCAAGTTACTACCATCTCTCCCCTCAACTACTGCCCATGCCCACTGTTACTACTCCTGAACCTTATATAGAATCCATCCTCTACACAACCACCAGAATACCCTTTAAAAGAATTTATTACATTATTTTCACTTCCCCTTGTACTTGCATAAATTTCTTATTCTGAAATATAAAGTCCTCCATTATCTGCTCTCTGCCTGCCCTTCCTGCTACAGCTTGTACCATTCTTAGCCTTACCTACCGCACTCCTGCAACACCTTCCTTTTTCTTCTTTTCTTCACATACTAGCTTTTTCCCCATCTTTGCATAGGCAGTTCCTTCTGTCCAGAATGCTCTTTCCCAGATCTGTACTTGGTTTGCTCCTTCTTACCTTTCTCAGCTTAATGTCTCTCCTCAGGGACGTTTACTCCAATCCCTCAATCAGCAATCACTCAAATCATTTACCATTTCAAAACCCTTTCTATATTTTCTGCACAGCACATGTCACTATTGGAAACTTATATACCCTTACCTTTGTAATAAATAAATAAATAAATAAATAAATAAATAAATAAATAAAATGTATCTTCTCCTGTTAGAAAAAAGTTCTGTGAGAGCAAGTGTGTTTGCTGCCGTATCTCCAACAGTGCCTAGGACTGTAAATGCACTCAAAAATAACTAGCAAACTGAAAATCCAAATGCCTGCCTCACTGACATCTCCACTTGGATGTCTTAAAGGCAACAGCAAATATAACATATCCTTAATGGGATTTATGATTTCCCTACTTCCTAAAACATGAGTCCTAACTTCTTGTGCTTTAGACCTAAGTGAAAAGTACCAACACTCAATCAGCAGCATAAGAGAGAAATTTAGAAGTTATCCTTGATACTTTCTTCCCCAGCAAGTTCAAGGAATCTCCAAGTCCTATCATCAATCCGTCTCTTAAATATACTGAATATATCCACTCTGTCCCTCTCTTCCACCATGACCACCCCATCCACTATCTAAATTAGCATCTGTCACCTGGATTACCAAATTGGTCTACTGATTTCTCTTCTGACCTCCCTCCAGTCTACTTGCTACACAGCAGCTATATGAGCTATTCAAATACAATCTGATTTTATCACTTTCCTGTTTAATACCCTTTAAACAGTCAGCTCTAGATTCTCTAGCTTCATTTATCACCATTGCCCTGTCCAGTCATCTACTGATTCACTCAACAACTATGTATATTTAGTACCCAGTGAAAGGGTGATAAAAAGTGGACAAAGGTCCTGATCTCATGAAGCTTATAACCTAACAGGAGAGTATATCACCAAACAAATCAACAAATGATAAGTCACACAGTAATTAATATTGAGAAGAAAACTTAAGTAGGGTAGGGTCATAGAACAACAGTTTGCCATAGGGGCATAATGGAATATTGTGGGCACATTTTTGGGAGGTCCCAATAATTAGAAGATGCTACTGGTGGATTTACTGAGTGGGGTCCAGGGATGATGACTGTCCTCTAGTACAAGACAGTCCCCCCCACAAATTACTGTTCTCATCCCAAAGCACTCTGACATGTCCACACAGATGAAAATACCTATGTATAATTATTTATACCCTTAACCTTATTTTATATACATAAATACTAAGAAGTTTTGCAGTTTTAATACACAGTAGATTCACCAGGAATTTCCATATCATATAAAGTGAGGGAAGGCTCTATTTTGTTTAGGTTACAATTTTACTAAGAATTATTCACCACTGTGGAAAATCAAGTCACCTTGTAACATAGCTTAGTGATGTGAATCACTAATATAAAAGAGATGTTTAGGTTTGGATTGGTAGCTGTTATTTAATGATATAACGTGCAAGTATTTAACCACTTCATAATGTCTCCTAACATAGATGGCATCTGGGCACTTACATTATTAAAAATATACTAGTTTATCATAAACTATTTCCCTTTTTCATATTATAGTTAGGGTATTTGCTTAATTTAATTATGTATACAGGAAGCTTATATTCAATAATTCATCCACCTGAAAAATATTTATTGAGTACCTACAAATGGTCTACTCACGACCCTTAGCACTTTGGATATATTTTGGAGAACAAAATAAATATCCTAACAAAACTGTGGGAAGTAGAATATTTAGTCTGTTGAAAGAAAAAGTACAGCAGGGTAAGTGGATTGGTAATGCTCGATGTGTATGATGCAAAATTGAACAGGGCAGTCAGTGCGTCTCGTTGGGAAGGTGAAGCTGAGGAAAGCCACAGAGTGAGACAATTGAGTGAAAAAAGGGCAAAAGTCCTAAGCTAGGCACATGTATGTCATTAACATGGAACAATAAGGAGATCATGTGTCCTAAATATCTTACATCTCTACACTGTAATAGCTTCTAAATCTGTTCAATGACTACACAGTAAGTTCCATGAAGTGGGAGACAATGTTCTCTCTTCTTAACATCTTCAAAACTTCACACAGTACCAGACACACAGTAAACACCCATTACCACCTGCCACATGAAAAAAATAAATGACGACAGAATCAGAAAAGTTTTCTGAGGCAACTGAGCACTAAGACTCAGAAGAATAAGACCAGAAGGAGAAGCCAGAAAAGAATTAAAGACTGAAGTGACAACATTTTTATAAAGCCGAAAGAAAAGTCAGTAGATTAAAATCCAAACAAAATTCCAAAGGTAAAAGTATTTGGCCATAATTGGATCTAAGTAACACGACAGATGTAAATATGATAAAATCTAGGTAAAATAATATCTGCTAAGTAACTAAATTTGCATTCACTCCATTTTGCTTTTAATAAAATACACAAGATAATAGCCCACCTATAGTTTTAGATCCAGATCCTTTACTAAAATGTTTTATCTACTTTAGACTAAATATTCTTGTACTAAAACACATGCATAAAGCTTTTCAAACAGGGATAAAGTTGATTTCAACAGATCACAGATTTAAAGTCTGACAGAGTTTAAAGAAAATTTAGAGACTATCTACTCCAAGTCTCTCATCTTAGAGATGACAAATTGAGGACCAGGGAACTAAAATGATGTCAAAGGTCAGAGCAAATTAGTGATATATCTACTATACTTAATATTTTGTTCAAATTAATGATGTATCTGCTATATTTAATATTCTGTTTTAGATAAAAAAAGAAAAAACAAAATTATCGTATGACTTTTTAAATATGAAAACAAGTACTATGACTACCATGCTACTTCAAGGAAATGACAGTAGGATCAATGTCTACTGTAGTCTTGGGCCATGAAAGAATACAATCGAATTTTTAAATTCTATATATAAAACAACAAAATAAACACCATTTAAGAAAATCCAAATGGCTAAAAACTATAATTAAATAATAAGATGAACTAAGGATTCATTGTGGTTGTTTCTGCTTAAAAGTAAGTAATGGCATTAGTATCCTGTCATCCCTAAACCTGAAACACTCCCCCAAATAGCATCTAAAATCCATAGCTAATTATTCTTAGTCTCATTGATCAAATAAAAAATAAAGGAAATTTCAACTAATAGAAAAGGGATTATTTTTATAATCAATATTCATATGATGATAAACTATATTTTGCACATTTAGTTGAAGATAGGGAAAGAATTATTAGTCCACTGTATAATTCAACATATTAAGTCTTGAATCACTAAACTGAAATTAAAGAAAACACCTTAGAGCATTAAAACCCACACCTGAAAGACTTACCATTTTATCTAGATGTTCAATGGATCTATAAATCTCCCCCTGGGATTCATCATAGTAACTGTAACGGAACCTTTGACCTTGAAACAAATATCATGTACAAAATAAAATAGGGAAAAATTAGAAGCTAAAAAGAAAGCAAGCGCTTACCAAATAATTTCAGTTCTCATGGAAGGCAAAGCACAGCTTAAGCCTCTGAGAGAATCATTCCCAAGAGCCCTTGTACATAAAAATAAAAGGCATATTTGGGAAGGTAATAAAGAAGTGATATATCAACAGTGTTTTATGATGTTAAAAACTATTTCAAACTGTAGAAACTTCAAGTGACGAGCAATACAAAAGACTAAGGAAACAAAACAGCTTAAAAGTTAGAAGCAATGTTAAACATATTGTATCAGTCTGTAATGGAAGGTAAACCCAAAGAATATGATTCAAGGAAATTTGGTTTAAGGAAACTATCTCAATGTAACAAATCAATGGAAGCTTAGCTTTTTCTGGATAAGTACAAAGATTTGATCTCTATTACAGGAAAAAAAATCTGCAGGTCAGAGAGATACATGTGGCTTATGTGATTTTTATGACCTCAGTAAAAAAAATTATCTCATTTCTGCAAAACTCTCTACTTGAAAAAGGAGCAATGCAAGTGCCTTAAAATAGGAGGCACAAAAGGATAAATATAATAAATAGTCCTACTCTGGCCAAATCTCAGTAAGAGTACAAGCACAGAACATTCAGCATTTAGCTCTTCTCCAAGAAAGAGAGGGTAAAATGGAAGAAGCTTGAAAAGAAGACAGAAAACAAAAGGCTCAGGTAATAAATTTTGCTTCCTACCACAGTTATATAAAAACCAAAAGTTAAATATATTTATAACTAATTGTGGTTATGTTATTCCACTGATTATGTTGTATTTCAGATATATCCACACTTGTATTTATTTCTGTGATGTTTTCTAAGCACTCATTACTTTTAAATTTAGTATTTTTACAGATCTACCAGTGCATTTAAAAGGTATTAGAGTATACAAGTCATGCACACACTATGTGTCTTGTAGCTTCATTTTTACAGCAAAGTTCACATATACAACTATTATCCTCACACCCGAGAAGATGGTTTTCTTTGGCTGGATAATTATGATTTTTAAGTTTTCCATTTATCTTACTTAAAAAAGTCATCTTATAAATGATGAGCAATAGAAAATAATAAAACTCTTTTGATGCTCTTTTTTGGAAAAAAAACCACACATCATAGTTCTCAACACTTCCTTTACATGTTGATACTGGTCATCTTTGACGGTCATCCTTCTGTAATATACTGTATTTGCTTAACATCCACATTTTAACTTTTCACATACATTAATATGTACAATTATTCAATGTAGTAGTCCTTACATTCCCCCTCAAAAGAACTTCTAATAAATCAGTATTGCATCTTAAAATTCATGATATTCTAGAATCAGCAATAGGATCCTAAGACAATTACCTGCTTTCTGAATACAACAACCTCTTTTGTAAAACATTGAAGATTATTAAATGTTGCTGTAACTATGAGATCCATTACAGTCCTTGCACTAAAAAAAATTCTTATACGGTGACAATTCATCACTCAATGCCCCTATGATAAGTAATTCATCATACATAGTTTTGCTTTTCTTTACAGAATGTATGTACTTACTGCTACCTAATAATGAGAACTATATAACTGACCCTATCTTTCCTATTTGCCATGTGGCTACTGGAAGGCTCAAAGACAACTCTAAAGTCTGTCCCAATAACTTATTGATTCAATTCTTAAGTACTAAATTTCTACTTTTATTTCCAAGTTCTTTTGATAGAGTTGCCCCAAATCATTTGTGAAATGAATGAACAATTAAATGAATAATCTTAGACAAGAAACTTCTGACTCACTGTCAACTGTAGTAAGCAATCAAAATGAATATTCTTTGAACCTGAACTGCTTCAGGAAATAGCTGGTAGTCTTAGCTGTCAATGAACCTTGTGACTGGGACACAATTATCTAACCTGAAGATTGCTACCCTTCAGGTGCAGAGAAAATGGTTGTGATAACCATTTGCTACTGAAAAGTCTTTTCTGCTTATTTCCAAGTTCAGAGCTACCGTTTCAAATGACTGAAGCTGGTCAAACTTGCCTTAATCATAAGTGAAAAGTGTAACTATATTTGAAAAATGCTGCCTTGTTCATACTGACAGTTTTCAATGTAACCATCACTTAAAAGCTACTTCTGAAGGAAGAGAAAAATACAGAAAATGTTTCAAATGTTTTAAAATATTAAATCAACAAGTGATTTTAAAAGAATGACAAATTACACAGAAGATTGATGAGCAAATGTTTAACCTTTTGCTATCTACCTCTTGCTACTCTTTAGGTGGCTTCCCTGCATTTTGTAGCTGAAGAATTGAGTAAAGATATTTTATGAGCTCTAAGTAATATGTCAACTCAGTAGCTAAATCCATACTACATACAGCTACTACACTGAAAAAATATCTTACTTAAACAGCTCAAACTGTCTTCACAATAATTCTTAAAAATCGTACAAGCATTTAAAAATTACTTGAGTAATTCATTCTGGTCAATTTACATACAGAAAACATCTAATCTGAAGTAAATAGTTTCCATCATCCTAGCCTATATGTGTGTGTGGGTGTGGGTGGGTGTGCACATGCACATGCATGCACACACAACTTTAGCTACACACCTCTTGGAATTTGAATGCAAAAAAAAAATCTTTTGTATCTAATTATTAAAAAAGAAGTTTATCCAGATTTTATTTAGTGAGAAATAAGAGAAATGACAACACTAGCACAATACACTTTCATAAATGCACCTTTAATCAAATATTTATTGTTGATTTAAAATATATTATGATTTCATATAACTCATGAGCAGACATTTTGTTTTATAATACTTCTAACATTCAGTAAAGCTTATGCATCTAAACTGCATAAATACAGTTGCCTATGTACCTGGAGAACTGGACTTGTATATTTTTATAAGTATGAATAAAGCATATCACATAGTAAGAGAAAATTACTTACCTGAAACTTATCCTTTCAGAAGGTACACTGGGAAAATGGATTCTTTGAGCCCCTGTTTCAACTCCAAGTATGAGCTTTCTAGCTTTAAGAGCCATTGACACTGCCCCTAGGGGCAGCACAAGCTTTGGAACTCCCCTAGTGAGTATGTCAGTAGTTTCTTCAGGTGCCTTCCCTCAGTTCTTTTCAAATTCAAAAGATGAGAGGAAAAATAACCCAAGAAAAAAAATCCTGTAAAGCAGAAACCTTACTCTTTGAGGGAAGGAGGGTAGCTCATTTGTGAATCCATTCCAGAGCACGCTTTCTGAGAAAAAGAAATACAGGTAAGTAATTTTCCCATCTCCAAAGGTGACTGGTGATTAATGAGTGGATTCACAGAGTGTGGAGAGTAAGCTCCAGGGATGTCTGTTTAACACACAACAATCAACTAATGAGGACAAACATAACAATGAATGGTACAAGAACCAACACTACTTTTTAAGTACCTCAAAACAAAAAGTAAAAAAATATCAAATACCTCAACATTAAGCTATACACTGAATTGTAGAAATAAACGATGAGCTTAGAAAGTTGATCTATAAAGCTCCCAAAAGATTAGTCAACAAGACAGACTTTCAGACATACGTCCAGTAAAATCTGTACTGTTATACATTCACTTAATCACTTTATGTTTATGTGGTAAAACATTTTCAATTATTTGAGTTAACCTCACAACAACCTGTGAGATAGATTATTAGGCCATTCATTCTATACTAAGGACCTAAACTGGGGACGCTCATAATTGAAATCGTAAAAAACTATAGTCCTTACATTCTGAAGTCTTAGTTATAACGTAAAAAAAAGTATTAGCCTTCTCTCACACTCACAAAAAATAAAAAACTTAAATATGTCAAATTAGTATGCATGAAATTTGAAAAGACAAATATGAAAGCTTTGATAATATATATTTCAGAAATTAGCTAACTTATATTCAAACCAGTTTAAATATTTAGAAAATATTAATTCCCTAGTACCTAAGAGACTGATAACAGAAAGGAAAAAGAGCATGCTTGAATAATCGCTCATTAATATATATTAAACTAGAAATCTGAATAAAGAAATAAAATCATAAATACTTAAGGGAATGCCACTTTTAATAGGTGACACATACTTACAAAACAAGAAATTATGTAACCTTAGACAAATATAAGTTTATATGTAAAAATCCAAAATTACTGGAGTGTAGTAAACTTTATTCATATTTTAATAAAAAACTTTATCATTAACATTTACCAAGTAAATTTACTGAAGTTGATTTTCACTTAAAACCATCATAAAAGAAAAATTAAATAGAAGAATGAATCAACTTTTAAAAAATCAATTTCTGTTAGATCTAGTTTCATTTAGAAACTTCTTAGAAGTTAATTAAAAATTATGGTAATGAAAGCTTTCAGTAATCTAAATTTGAAAATATGAATTTCAGGGAGATCAGAAAAGTTCAAACATTAATAGTGTGTGTGTGTGTGTGTGTGTGTGTGTGTGTGTGTGTGTACGAAAAAACGAAGTTAGGAGAAGAGAATGAAAATTCTACCAATTAGAAAAACTAAAATAGGGCCTGTCAAAATTCTCTTATGGAGCCATCTTATAGGACACGAAACCTGATCAGAAAAAGTATGGGGACGATATTACCTAACCAGAGTAAAAATCAATTACTAGCAGCAAATGTCCTTCACTTATGCCACAATCCCAGGTAGCAGGAGGAAGGATTACAAAGAAAAGTGTCACCAGGAAACCATCACTCTGTTGGGCTGACTAATGAATTTCCATGTGGATTAGACTTAACTATAATATAAAAGTCGGGAATTGAAATGCTGAGGGTTTGTTGTGGGGGAAGGGATGGGATTCAAATGAAGGGACAGAAAGAAGGGGCATAATATAACCTAGCTCCCCACTCTCCCTAGACTTTTCCCAGCCTGAAAGAAAAGTTGAGAATATTTTAATCTTTCTACATTTTCTCTAATGCCTTTTTCAAGTCCACATAAAATTTAAATGGGATCTGAAAGATGGAACACCTTTAAAGCAAAGGACAATTTAAAAATAAAAATTCATTCTTGTAATGGACACTGGCTAACAAATAAAATCAACCAGGCAAAACCCTGCCAATTACATATAGGTCTCCCAACTGTCTCTATCACCAAATTTCCTGCTTTATTTTTAATGGAAGCTGGACATAATATAAACAATGTCTAGAAAGGAAACTTGTTGTCACTGCTAGGAATCTAATTCATCATTTAACAAAAAAAATTCCACTGTATGTATCTGAGTAATTTGTCAACTGCACCATAATCAATGGATTTTTCCTCAAAAATCATTTATTTAGAAATGTACAGTGTGCTGGCTTAACTCAATGAAAGTTTAAAGATCTCTGAGTATTTGAGGAACTGAATCCTTCCTATGAAATAAATGATTTAGAATTCAGTGTTACCACTGCTTTGATATAATAGAAGCAATCTATATAGTATCTTTACAAAACAAGAAAAAAAAAAGAAGAAAAAACCATGAAGAAATATTCTCACAAGAAAAAGCTAGATTTTTGAAATGGGAGTGCAGCATCCATTAATGTAGAAAAGATGACCAACGCCACCAGAGCATGAATTTGAGAAATATGAAAATTTCTAAGACATTTTAACCCATAACTAGCCCATGATTCATATTACTTCAATTAGGCATATAAACAGAAAATGAATCTTACTTTGTAAGAATGGCAGTTACTATTACTATTATAGAGGGAAACTACCAATTTTGAAAGAGCATCCATGCAATACCTTCCACCTATCACCAGACCTTCATCAAATTTCCGAATAAGAAATTAGTACAGTGCTTTTCATAAGTACAAAGTAAGCACTTAATGGGTATTATTAGTGATTATTAGTGACAGTCATACTAAAAAAAATAAACACTTGGAAAAGTTCTATTACTTAACCACCAAATGTAAATATAAATATGTTTTAGTCTCTGGAAAATTCTCATAACATCTACCAATCTTTGGGAATTTGGACTTCTTTTTTGTAATTATCACCAGGAAATCCTATCTTACAATTTAAATACCAAGATTTTCTAGAACACAGGAGATCAAACGGTCTCAATAATTTTCCAAAAACCAGGGTACAATATAAAACAAAATTCATCTTTCTCTCTCAATATAATATTTAAATATAGTAGTGGACTAGAGCTTATTTGTTTTAGCATTCATTAATGAGGTAAGAAAGGATGATTTTACAGAGAAAAGAAATATTAAAGCATTATACTGATTTTTTGTGTGGATTTATGCTGTGATTGCACATGGTACCAACCTAGAGGAGGAACTTCAATTCTGAAGAACAGTATCAGGAAAACTAATCACTTAAAACATAAAAGTAGAGTGATTCATAGGGCCCTTAAAAGTGAAGAGGGAGGGGTCACATGCTTTAAGAATTTTTAATTTCTGGGGTGCCTGGGTGGCTCAGTCCGTTAAGCGCCCAACTTCTTGCAGTTCATGGGTTTGAGCCCTGCATCAGAGTCTGTGACTCCCTCTCTCTGCCCCCACCCCTCTGCTCATGCTCTGCCTCTCTCTGTCTCTCAAAAAATAGATGACAAAAAAATTTTTAAAGAAGTTTTAATTTCTAAAACATACGGGATGCTTTATTACCAATGCAAATTCACAATACTAAGAAAAAGAGCCCTTTTTTCAATAATGATATTCCTTAGTTTTTAAGATCAGCTATGACTAAACTTCAGAATTTCCAAGAAAAGAACTCTTTGTAAGATCTAAGTAATATAATCCATAAAAACTAACCTGCCAAACGTAGCAAACTAGACAAAAGAACTGCCCTGAGAACCCCCTAGAGAGTTTTGGCAAGGTAGCACAGCCACCTGCATCCCCTAAACCTGGGCTTCACCATCTCAGCTCTACTGACATTTTGGGCAGGATAATTCTTTGACATGGAAGGCTGTCCTGTGTTCAGCACAATGTTTATTAATCAGCTTCTCTGGACTCCACTCAGTAGATGCCTAAAGCATCCGCACTTCCCACCCCCACCCCACTGCGATGGCCAAAAATGTCTCCAGACATTTGCAAAAAAAGCCCCCTTGGAGGACAATCAACCCAAGATGAGAAATCAGTGACTTAAACCCAAATATTTATCTATATCATTAGGGATGGTTCTCTTAAAATGAGATCTTAAAGCCACTCACAGAGCAAGGTTAAGAGAAAATAGCCTAACCAGGCCAGATAAATATTGTCAACTCTAGGAATCAATGCTTAAGACATACAAAGGCCAGGCCTCCCTACATCTCATTGAGGATGTTTTTCTGGTCATTCTAGTGTCCTATTTTAAAATTTATAGCCTTGTACCTTCTGTTTTCTTTATAATCAAAGAACTAACTGAAGGATGAATACATACTGGCATCATTTGGCCAATGAGAGATATCCTAAAAGGAACAGGATTCAGAAATAATTGAGAACAGCAATGGATAAAGGAGAGCAAATTGTATCCAAAGAAATCAGAAATCAAAAGTCAAAATTTACTAAAAGAAGCATCCGCAAATGTCTCACTTTCTTATGATCTATTCACTGTTAAGTTTCTTTACTCTTTTCATTCACAATAATAACAAAAATCACTTCAGAATCCTTACCCTTATAAACCATTACCAATGAAGACCACAGTGCTAATAGCCAACCTGTTAACACTCTTTGGAGGGTAGCTCTAAACTAATGGCAGAAATTAAGCACCAAAAGAAAAACAGAAAGAAAAAAAACACTAATTACAAAAAAAAGTAATGTAGTAAAGGACTGGCATAGCACAAAGTGCTCTTCTACCTTCTAAAAAAAGAACATTTGTTTTATCTACCAAAAAACTAACTTCAGAGATCTACCACACAAATCTACCTGGAAATAGGATTAAAAGATCTTTACACCCACTATTGAAAGTAGCTAATCAAGGATGCCCTCACAGTGTGAATCCAATTATACCAGTCGCCTTTGGAAATGTATCCATAATCCACTATCATAATCTGATCCTTTTTAAATGACCAAAAGACTTTTTTATTCACTTTTAAGTAATGTGGCTAAAAGTAAAACTCTCCAAGGAAAGTGGTAAGGAACTGAAAATCAGAGCTTACAGTGAAAAGATACCATTAAGCACAGGTATATAATATCTACCATGATATATTAACATCTAGAACTTACCCCAATGGCAGAAATCAGAAGAAACCACAAAGAGATTACTAGGATCCGCTAGATATTTACTGAAGAGTTTTCCGAATTCCTGTTCTTTTGACTCACTCAGAGCTCCAACCAGTACAGGAATAATGGTAAACTCATCCTTATGGCTTAAAGAAAACAGAAAAAAAAAGTCATTTAAGAAGTATAAGAATAAAAATCATTTTCCAATGTGTTGGCACTAAAAGTGGAACATTTATTAATTGTGGTAAGGATAATATACATATTATTGAACTTTTTAATCTGTAAATAAAATGTTTAAAGAATACCATTTAAAAATGAGATAAAGATACTAAAAATATCTATTTAAATTACAGAAATATACAATATTCTTTAGGTAAACAAAACTACTTTCCTACTAGGCATAATATCCTTGAAAATAAAAATAAGCCCATCAGACCATCACCAAGTCAAGTCTTTTCAACTACCAACCAAAGCTACAATCATCTGCCTAATCCTTCCACAATTTTAAAAGAGCATTAAACTCTTCCTCAATATTTTAATCCTATCCTATTATAAATACCATCACTTCTGGCACTTCTAACAACCTGTCAAATGAGACCTACAGAACCTACTCTTGGCTCCCATAAGATATACCAACTGCACCTTATACTAATAAACAGATACAGGACAGTCTGAAGATACAACTCAAAATTCACTGGTCTCTAGGGTGGACACAGAATTCAAGGAAGTAGGTATTAATTTCTAGCAGCAAGAAAAAGATACCACACCCACCCAGAATGCTTATGATATATTCACAAGTCCCTTTTTCACTCTACAGATTGACAGCTTTATGGAAAAGGAACAGAGCAGATTAATAAAGAGTAACTATGATGGGCTATAGAAACAGACGTTTATACAAAATCTTTAAAAATTTTCATTGTAGTGAAATTTTACTTACATATATTCAATATTATTTATATTCTAAATGATCCCAGATTAGAATTTTAGAAGCGTGAATCATGTTTGTCTGACTTGTTCTGAATAGGACTTTAAAAAAGAAAATCACCATTATATTAATGTTTTTTACTATGATAATCTGACACTTAACTGATGTAGGACAAACAGAATTCATAAAAGGGTTTTTAAAAATACAAAATTTAAATTTATTCCCAAAATAAGTGTTAGCCCAGCTTCATAAAGCTAAATTCAGGGCACCCAAGCGCCTCCCCCATAAAGGCCCCCTTACCCTTGTCAATTGCGAAATAAACAGATCATACAGATCTCCAATCCCTCTGCAATGCAGGGGCTTCTTGGGCAGAATCTGCATCTATGGAGTAAGAAAAAAAGAGGAAGCTGGCAGAGGAAGCTGCCATGGAATATCTCTTTCTCTGATTCTGTTACCAGTTTGCTTTACAACTGCAGAAATGAACGGGGGCTCTTCAATAAGCTAAGAATGATTATCATTTGAAAGAAAAGAATTTGAGCTCTAGTAAAATTTCAAGAAGACTGTTATGAACTGTTCTAACTTCAAGTGCTATCTATATAAATTTTAAAAAACTAAGATCATCAAAGAGTCTGTAAGTAATTATGACATGGTAGGGATGGAGTTATATAAGAGAATAAAAAAACAAGAAGTCAGAAGAAATAGGTTCAAGTACCATCTCCATCACATAATAAAAGTTGAGAGTAGGTAAATCATTAACCTAAAAATAGATTTCCTTATCTGTAAAATTATCATAATTACAGTATTTTCTAAAACCATCAGGAAGTGAGTAATGCTATAGGGAAAGTATTTTATCAACAACAGTTGGCCCACTCTGAAGAAATAATATATGTCTACTATTCCACAGAGCCATTCAGTTAACCTCAGTCTCCACTTGCAAGTCTAAAAGACTCAAACTACTTAGAAATCTAAGCTTTGAATCAAGATTCATCCACCTACTTCTTCATCATTTCTCTTTAAAAAAATTACTTGTTGTCCTATATTCTCACAAAGCATGAATTAGAGAAAAAAGTATTTGGCTTTGAAATGTAATATTCCTAGGTTCTAGAATACAAGTTGTCAAGCTGGTCTTTTCCAGAAAAGGAGTACAAAATCTTGCCCTTAGAAAACAATGATAAAACTCAAAAATAACCATTTTGTGCTCTAAAAATTAAACAGAGGCAAAAACACAAGGAGAAAAGTTTATCTGCATAAAATAACGGACATTCTTGGGAAGAACAGGGGAAGTCTGACATCTTACCAGGAGCTGCCTCCATCCCCCTGACCCACTCCACTAACATGGTAGAGGCTGGCTGTGAAAACCAGCAGCTTCACTGCTGAAGGGGGCTGACTTTGAGTTGGAGTAGAGAACAGAAAACTCATACCCAGCAGGAAAGAGAAAAGCCCACAGCTCTTGTAGCCTAAGATTATGGAACCACTTGAGGCAACCCACAAACCTGAAGACTAGAAATTTAACACAGAGATTCTGGAGAGAGCCACAAAGGGACCTGATAAATTCACTTATCCTGAGGAGAGGATGGATGTTCTCCACATAACCCCATCTGACTAGAAGGCAGCAAGCACAAATGTGCAGGGGAGACCCCTAAGGTCCCTAGGGGAGCCAGCTAATTAGGAGGTTAAGAGCATATCCAAGGCAAATTAGAGACATGAGAAAAACCAACATCTCACATATCCCAGGCTGACTGGAAATCTGCACGTATACACAGGGAGACCAGAGAAGACCCAATAGAAAGTAAAGGAGGCAAGCTAGAAGACGGCCCAAATTTGAATAGGCTTCCCAAAATATACACAATCAGCCAGCAGAGGACGAAAGCTTTCTGGCTCAAGGTGTTCAATTACCACCTCCAACCAATCATTACCTAAGCACTAAGTAATGTAGACACAGAGATGAACTCTAAAAAGCCAAAGTTTATAAGAATTTTTATTTTTTAATGTTTATTTATTTTTGAGAGAGAGACAGAGAGACAGAGACAGAGACAGAGTGGGGTCAGGGGAGGGGCAGAGAGAGAAAGAGAGAGGGAGACACAGGTTTGGAAGCAGGCTCCAGGCTCTGAGATGTCAGCACAGAGCCCAACACAAGGCTTGAAACCCCAAGCCTTCGAGCTGTGAGATCATGACCTGAGCCCAAGTCGGCAGCCCAAAGTTTATAAGAATTTTTTAAAATTTGAGGAGATACATCAGTAGCCACACTGATTTTGTAAAAGACTGATTCCACAGATAAAGCCAACCAAGTTACTTAAAAAAAAAAAAAAGTGAATGAATGAATGAATGAAACAACTACCATGGGGGAGGAGAAGGGGGAAAATAGTAGGGGAGAGGGAGAGAGGCAAACCATGAGAGACTCTTGAATGCTGAGAACAAACTGAGGACTGATGGATGTGGGGGGAAGGGGGGAGATGGGCATGGAGGGGGGCACTTGTGGGGATGAGCACTGGGTGTTATATGGAAACCAGCTTGACAATAAACTATTTGTAAAATAAATAAATAAATAAAATAAAATAATCAAATGGAGGGGAGCCTGGGTGGCTCAGTGGGTTAAGTGTCCAACTTCAGCTCAGGTCATGATCTCAACAGCTTGAAGGCTCATGGGTTCAAGCGCTGGGCCCTGTGTTGACAGCTCAGGGCCTAGAACCTGCTTCAGATTCTGTGTCTCCCTCTCTCTCTGTCCCTCCCCTGCTTGCTCGCTCTCTCTGTCTCTCTCTCTCAAAAATAAATAAACATTAAAAAATTTTTAAATAAACCCCAAACACAAATAATCCATGGGCTAAAGACATGAACAGACACTTCTCCAAAGAAGACATCCAGATGGCCAACAGACACATGAAACGACACTCAACATCACTCACGATCAGGGAAATACAAATCAAGACCACAATGAGATACCACCTCACACCCGTCAGAATGGCTAACATGGCTAACAATTCAGGCAACAACAGACGCTGGCGAGGATGTGGAGAAAGAGGATCTCTTCTGCAGTGCAGGTGGGAATGCAAACTGGTGAACCCACTCTGGAAAACAGTATGGAGGTTCCTCAAAAACTAGAACTACCCTATGACCCAGCAATTGCACTACTAGGTATTTATCCAAGAGATAAAGGTGTGCTGTTTCGAAGGGGCACATGCACCCCAATTTTTATAGCAGCACTATCAACAATAGATGAAGTATGGAAAGAGCCCAGCTGTCCATTGACATGGATAAAGAAGATGTGGTGTCTATATATAATGGAGTATTACTCGGTGATCAAAAAGAATGAAATCTTGCCATTTGCAACTACGTGGATGGAACTATTTAATAGTTAATATTAATAGATAATAAGCGCTTAGTATTATGCTAAGTGAAATTAGCCAGAGAAAGACAAATATCAAGACTTCACTCATATGAGGACTTTTAAGACAGAAACAGATGAACGAAGGGGGAAAGGAAGCAAAAATAATACAAAAACAGGGAGGGGGACAAAAACATAAGAGATTCAAATATGGAGAACAAACAGAGGGTTACTGGAGGGGTTGTGGGAGGGGGAAGGGGCTAAATGGGTAAGGGGCATTAAGGAATCTACTTCTGAAATCATTGTTGCACTATATGCTAACTAACTTGGATATAAATTTTAAAAATAAATTAAATTAAAATATTTGCAAATAAAATGTAAATAAAAGAATCAAATGGAAATTTTAGAGTTGAAAAGTACAACAAATGAAATTAAAATTGATGAGATGGCCTAAAAAGCAGATTCAATATTACATAAAGAATCAGTGAAATTAAAGATGAGATAAATTATTGAACCTGTAGAGAAAAAGATTGAAGAAAAATGAACAGAGCATTGGAGACTTGTAGACAGTATCAACCATACTAGATGAATACAATGAGAGTCCCAAAAAAGATACAGTAAAAGTATTAGAAGGGATAATGACTAAAAACTCTCCAAATTTCATGAAAAACATTAATCTACAGTTCCAAGAGACTCAACAACCCAAAATAGGAGAAGCACAAAGAGACCCCCATTTAGACACAAAGACCAAAGACAAGGAGAACATCTTAAAATCAGCAAAAGGGAAATGACTCATTACTTAGCAGGATAGTGTTTTCAACCATCAATACTAGAATAACTGCATATCCATATGAAAAAAAAAGTGGACTTAAACCTTTACACCTCATACCATATACAAA